TTTTGGAGGGGGGAGAGGGGGAGGGAATTGTGTATTTATTTAGCTTGACTGTTGTGCTATTTTAGAAATGTCACTTCTTTAGAGTAAATGTTCACAATTGCAAAGCTCTTTCTGGAAACATCCCAGTTTCCTAGTGACATTTGAAAGAGTCAGAGAGAATTACAGATTATTTTTTTCTTCAAATCAATATACCCGCTTAGTAATACCTGACTTGGAGAAATAAGCTTCCATTCGATGGACCAACAAATTACCTTAATCCCAAACTGCACCATATTCCTGAAGAGATCTCAGCAAAATTCATAGCACGTGAGTCTTTGCTAGTTTTCTGAAACATTGTGCAATTGCAAGTAAATATAATATCTCAAAAGGTTGGAAAACCAGAATGGATTACAAAATAATTAAGGAGACTTCCGAATGTGACAGCACTCAGAAAATCAAAAGCCACAGCCTTCAGTGGCTCATAATGTTGTTTTTTACCAGGCAAGTGTAGTCAAGTGACAGATTTGCCCCTGTATATAAAAGAAAACAGGTGTGTTCCAGGATGAGTGACAGAGAACCTTCACACCATTCATTATATGAGCCCAGATCACAAGTGCGCCCGGAAGCCTTCTAATAATAACCCCCGAGATCAGTTCTAAAGTGATGGAAATTTTTATTGCTCTTTTCATGTTAGTTGACAATTGACTTTGAAAGATTTATGGCAACTTACACCAATCAAGAATCATTTCTCAGAGCCCTTTCTCTAGTCTGAAATCAGGCCATTTTGATTTTAAGTTTTCTAGAACATTATTCAAATAAAAGAAACTGCATAGCAGAACGGTAACAAACTTTACCACCATTTAGAGAAAAACAGCTTTAGAATGTTGCATTTCTTTTCACAATCACCCTCGTACCCCATTCGATGCATGAGAGCTGCTGAGATACTATTTTGTTGAGAGTCTTTAGTCGATAATAAATTTCAAGGCTAGTTCCTTTCCAAGATCTGTTTAGGCAAGAGGCCCTCTCTAATCTACCTAGGCTGTACATGCAAGCGTGAAGATATATTTACATATTTATTTGTAAAGTAACTTTTTACATCTTAAACTCTTGTTCTATACATTATTTAAAAGGCTCCAACAGAAAGCATCTGTTCTGCTGCTGTAGCAAGCCCAGTATTAAGTATTAGTAACAGGTGCATCCATATATTTGGTCAAAATCACGGTTCCATCAGAAAAAGTGCCACCTAGGAAGTCGCTAAAGTGGTTGGATACCTGCTTTAGAGGACAGAGAAAAATTTATGCCTTTTGCACTCACCCTCGGTAAATTGCAGGGGGCCAAAACAGATCTAGAGAGTAAGGCACCTGTGCTTCCTTTAATGAGGAGGAGCTCTCTTTCAGGGCAGGACAAATAGTTCTACAATCTTTGTGGAAGGAATTCACATGAAAGCTGGAAAAAGTCTAGGTTTATTAGAAGATTCCATTCATATTACCGTTTGTCCCACTGTTTTTCTATTTTACACAGTTGCCTATAAATGCAGGGGCTTGAAGTCAAGGATCCAAATTGTCCAGCGTGTCTCTGTAAAATATTTTGCTGAGTGCTGCATCGTAGCTCCACCAGGGCAGCCCAGACAGCTATCGTTAGTGCAAATCCTCTTTAGCCGTAGTCCTCATCAGTGGGTCAGACACCCAGCAAGAAAGCTCTGGGATCCCTGTACCCTACGAAGTAGGCGGCCCCCCAAAAGCCCACAGGCTGTGCGCGGCAGGCGCTGCCGAGGTCCAGGGTGGATGCCGGCAGCGCCGCCAAGGTGAAGCCCCCAGAGGCAGCTCCTTGCGCGGGCAGAGGCGGTGGCCGGGCCACGTACGTGAGCGGCAAGGACCCAACGCCGCTCTGAGGTCCGTAAGGGAGAGGGGGGCTGCAGAAAGGCTCCGACCTCAGCT